CAGAACAATAAAAGTTTCTTCCACACTATTTCCTTTTCTTTCTGTTTTAGATAGAATTTTATAGAAGAATTAATTCTATTTTAATAACAATTCTCTTGCTATTTTTTGTTTTTGTTAGTTATGAGTAATAAAAACAAAAAAGTTTAACTCAACTTGTTTCTTAAAGAAGTAATATCAAAATAAAAAATGTTATTCAAAAAGTAATAATTTGTTATAACTTATTAATTTGTGTTTTTAATTTTTTCAAAAAAAAAACAGTTAGGGTAAAACTAATAATTTACTTGGATAGTCAATATGTCTAAAGTTATCGTTATTGATTGCCATGGACATGTTCTTGGTCGTGTAGCTTCAGTTGTTGCAAAGAATCTTCTTCTTGGAAAAAAATTTGTTCTTGTTAGATGTGAAGATCTCCAAGTATGTGGAACACTCAAAATGAGATTAGTTCAATGGGAACTTTATCAAAGAAAAAGAGTTAATACTAACCCAACTCGTGGTGCTTTCCATCATCGTTCACCAGCAGATATGGTTCGTAAAGCTATTAGAGGAATGCTTCCAAAGAATAATTATAGAGGAAAGCTTGCACTTAAGAATTTGAAATGTTTTGAAGGATGTCCAGCACCATATGACAAAATGAAGAAATCATCAATTCCAGCTGCAGCAGCAATTTATTCATTCAACCCAACAAGAAAGAGAACTCTTCTTGGAGAACTTGGAACTGCAGTAGGATGGAAATATGCTGATGTTGTTGCTAAAAATGAAACCGAAAGAAAAGAAAAAGCTGCTAAATGGTATGCTGCTAAACAAATGAAACAAAAGGCTATTGCAGAAGCTAAAGAAAAGATTCTTGCAGATGAAAAGTATAAGGCTAAAGTAGCTATCCTTAAGAAATTTGGTTATGCTTAAGTCTAAATTAAAAATTAATTCTCTTTTGTCTTTTTTATTCTTTTTTCATTACTTTTCATATTTTTATTATATTTTAACCATTGTGATGTTGTGTAGTAAGATAAACTTTAATTAACTTTGACTTTCTTCTCTTAATGAGATATACCTCATAAATGCAGTATAGTCT